AATTGTTTTAAAACAAATTAAAACCAGACGCAGGGGACTGTTGAGTTCAGATTGTTGCTCTTGGGTGAAGTATCCCACCGTCTATAGAGGGGTTGGGAAGGGATTGGGTTTGTTGATTATCAGGCTTCCGCAGCCATGATCTAAGTGAAAGCCCCTGAGCCCGAGGATGGTTCTATTTGGCTTCTGACCTTATGTTTTAGAACCCAATAGGGTCTAAGGACCCAAGAAAAAGGGCTTTAGGGCCTAAATACTATGATATCAATAGAATTTGGACGCTAAAGCCCTGTTATTTGGGTCCTTGGACCCTTAGGGTTTAGCTTCTGGTTTTATGTTGTAGAAAGTATGGTCTCTATACTAGGAACTACCCTGGGGCTTTGGGTAAACATACCCCACATGGGCCCTTTGGTGTGAACAGAACTGTGCCGGTAGCCCTCAAGGCCGGCGCGTCCCTTGTGTTCCTATTTCGCTTTCCTGGCGGTAGGGCACATGTGGGGTGGGCAGATAACCTTGTCCTCACATTTGGCATAGCATAGCATGATGGAAGTAGTGCTCTAGGTTGTTGGGTGTGCCTGAGGCCAAAAATCTCCAGTTTTGGGTTCTGAAGGTTGAAGTTGTAGGGCACTCTAGATTTTTTGGGATTGATCTAGACATGAAACCCTAAGACTAAGTGTCTTTTGGTTCAGAAGTCGTAGGTCTTGGAAGTTTGGATGGACATACTGGCAAGCTGCGGAAAAAAATCAACGGTGGCGCCCATGCTTTCCGATGTCAGCACTGCAAACATGGACCCTATAATCCAGCCGGTTGTTGGGCGGGATTAGGGAGATAAGCACTACAGATTCTTCCGTAAGCTCACTCTCAGCCCGAAAAAAAATAGAACCCCAAACGTTAAACCATACCCATGCAACCTTGATCCTCGAACCCAAAACTCTATATCATAATCTACCGCACTAACCTCAACACTGAAGCGCAACGGTTAGACCCTAAACCCGAAACGCTATGATCCCCAAACCTTAAACTCCAAACCACTACCCACCACACAATTCAAGTTGCAATTCGCTGTTTGAAGTCCAGCAGACTGAGGATTAAAGTGTGCCTTGCCTGTACATTTGTTCGGTTCAATAGGGTTTAGAGTTTAGGGCCCTGTTAGGGTTTAGGTGAGGGTTTAGGGTTCATTTGGAGGCTTTGGATTCGGAATATTCGGCCACTCAGAATCATTTTTCCACGCTGAAGTCCCCGAGAAATTATGACCATTCGGCCCCCCAAGTACCCCTGGACAACACTAATGGAGGGTTCGTGGAGTACACAATCCCTAAGGGTCCAAGGACCCAAATAACAGCGCTGTAGGGCCCAAATACCATGAATATTATGGTATTTGGGCCCTAGAATCCCATTATTTGGGTCCTATATACCCCTATATCATCCGTTAACATCCCCATATAGCCCCCCATAACCCCTTTAAAGGGACCCCATTATTTGGGTCCTTGGACCCTTAGGGAATGTTTCGGTGGTGTTTAGAGCTTCTCGGGATTTAGGTTGGTGGCATAGGGTCTACCTGGGTGTCAATTGTCAGCTTGAAGCCAGTGAGATGAATTGTCTATCGAGTTAAAACCCTTACAACCATGGTGGGGAATTCAGAGTGCTTCAAAGTAGGCTATAAGTACAGATAAAAGTAGCTCACAATTCCCATGAGGTTTGATGTTAGATAGGGGAGAGACATGTAGACTTTCCTCTACCTGCGATGCCTGAAGTTTAGATGCTCAGACTTAGCAGTTACTGGGTTGAAGCATAAGACTGTGGATACTAAATCCTCCATGACCCTAAGTACCCTATACCTTGACAATTGTAGTGTTATAGCCTGCTGAGGTCATGCAGGATGTTTAGTATCAACAGTAGTACCTGTACAGGCGATGTATAAAGGTTCTACATTGATACCATGTTGGGGTCCGACTCACAAGCCCCACGGTGAGGCTCCCTTTAAAACAGAAAATCAAAGTCAAGGTATATACGTATGTGTACAGCTTAAGCCCTTAACCCCGTAAACCCAAAACACGAAATCTTAAAACCAGGTATATGCACATTGGCGCGGAGAGTCTGCAGGACACGCTGGAGTTGGCGGCGCATGCGGCCAGCACCCCGGGTGTGGCTCGGTTGTTATCAGATGATCCCTCCAAATGTTTAGAGTTTAGGGTTTAGGGGTTTAGGGTTAGGGGTTTAGGGTTTAGTGGTTTAGGGGGTTAGGGGTTAGGGGTTTAGGGTTTAGAGTTGTTTTTTAGGTTTTACGGGCTAAGGTCGAAGGTCCAGATCCCAGCACTTCGGTTCCAACCCTAAACCTTGGGTACTGCACCCACCCAGTAGCAGTTGGATAGTCATTGTAATATGAATATATACAGTTCTTAATAAAATCCCAAATAACCTGTTCTGGGCTCTTCCTGGATGCGGGGAATTCCAATCTAAACCCCAAACTGCCATTCTTGGATACATAGCCAGGCCTTGTACCGAGCGTCATGTTCCAAGGGCCGAAACCTACCTGGACCCTCCAATGTAGTTCCTTGTAGAGTTTGGTATGTTTATTTGGTGAGGACTCTTATGAGGACTACCCAAAAGGTACTACATTGGAGGGTCTAGGTATGTAACACCCCCAAAACATGGTCATCCCTGATGATAATCAGTACTGCGGCTTGCGTGGACCTTGCTGACAGCACTGCAGCCCTGTAGCCTAAACCCTAAACCTTAAAGGCACCTTTCTAGGAGCCCTTCTCGACTTTGGGATCCTCCCGTAGAAGCAAGTGCATAATCCCGTGGCCTAGGTGACAGGTGACTCAAGTACAACCCTAAACCCCAAACCCTAAGCCCTAAACGCCCTTCAATGTAAACCCCCCAATCCTAGAGGCCCTTAACGGTGAAGTTATCATCCAGGTCATTGGCATTGTGTGCCAGACGCCCATCTTCTTCAAGCTTCTTGGCGACGGCACCTTCAGAGTTTGGGGGAGCAGGGAGTGAAGGTTTGCTTCATAACCAGGTACTATTGTTGATACTAAACATCCTGCGTGACCTTATTAGGCTATAAGCTATAATGCCTTAATGTTCAGGTATAAGGTAGTTAGGGCCATGCAGGGGTGAGAATCTGTTTGAAGGATTTTGACGGTGTTGCAAGCGCGAAGCACAGGTTTTTCATGTCACTATTCCAATTCTGGCATTCAACGGTATGCCTGCTTGCAATGGCCAATGCTGGAGATCCCTCCTTGCCATTTGCGCTCCTGCCTGCATTTCTGGCCCCTAAGCTAATACAGACCCTCATTGATGCCTGAAGCCCGCCCCACCCCGTTGCACGTGGCCCGTGCTTTAAAGTTCGGGTAGGTGACTTCATCCAACGGTCCTCACTCGGAAGCAGTACAGGGCACTACCATACTCTAGGGCTCCAGGAGAAAAGCAATACCTACATTGGCCCTAAAGTATACAAACGCTACCTGTATCGGGTGATTCGGATCCTTCGGACAGGCTAGTTGTTGGCCGCTTTACCCCCTAAACCCTGACCTATGAGTAAGCCTCCTGCACCCTACCAAAGCCCAATAAACCTTGAATCCCTAAACCCAAACCCTAAACCCCAAACCCCAAACCCTAAACCCTAAACCCTCCTGGACCCTACAAAAACCCAGCATAAGCTTTTCGTCTTGAAGCGGCCTCGGTGCTTTCCTGCGTTTTAGAGTTTAGCGTTGGGCAGAATATGTATCCACATACATTACTCTATATGTTAGGAAAACCCTGGGATATTGGGGCAGTGCAAAAAAGTGGGAATTAGTTTATTGGATAATCAAATGGAAAAGGGTTCAGGGAGCTCCAAACCACAAGGCCCCTGACCGAACCGCAAACCACAGCGTGCTAGACCCGGACGTTGTTTATCTGTCTCATTGCCATTAAAACCTAAGAGTTCAAGACAAGATCTCATGGATGTAAGTGGCTACAGAAGGGTTCCAATACCTACATAAAGCATGGAGACTTTAAGGGATCTCACATATGTACTGTTTTGCCCCGGTAGGTTCCCCTTCTTATGTGGAGCCCTAAACTCCGAGCCCTAAACCCGGAACCTGAACCCCAAACCCTACACCCCAAACTCCAAGCCCCAAGCCTGAAACTTAAACCCCAAACTCTAAACCCTATACCTGCACCGTGTTTATGCTACGGATAGCCCAGGCCAAATGTAGAAACTCTGCACGACTACTTGGCGGCCGTGGGCCGCGCAGCACCCGAGCTGCCTCTGTGGCCGCTGGGGCAGCGGTTTGGGGTTTAGGGTCTAGTGTGGGGCAGTGTCAAGGTTTCGGGTTTAATTTGGGCGGAACAGGGTTGAGGGTTGGGGTTTAGGGTCTAGGGTTTTAGGTTTGCACTCCTCCAAGAACATGGACACCCCAAAAAGGCCCTGCGAAGAATAACTGTATGTTTTTTTTTTCAGAGTACGGCTTGAGGTTTAAGGTTCGGACATGTGATATTCAGGACTTCAGGCGCAGACCCTATAAATGGAGGTTCATGCGCAAATAAGCGAATAGATAAGATAATACATAACTGTTTCTATATGTATATATATATATACACACACAAAGTACGAGCCATTGGAGTCTCGTAGTATGACTATCATTGGCTTGAAGTACAAATATACCTAGGTCATAATTACCGAGCCCCTAATTATTTAATTCGTGCCTTTAGATACCTCTATGCCCCCATTTTCCATGTCATTCTCCATTTCTCCTAAACCCTCCACCGCCTACCCCTAAACCCTTACACCCTAAACCTTAAACCAGCTCATAACTACCCTTGACCTCCATGTACCCCTATATCTTCTCCGGGTGCCTGTGGCCTTTTAACTAGGTACCCCACTCCTTATAAGGATTTAGGGCTTAGGGTCTGGGGTTTAGGGCTTAGGGTTTAGGGTTCAGGGCTTAGGGTTCCCTAAACCCTAAACCCTAAACCCTAGGGGGCACGAGGTAACCCCAGTAGTGCCCTTTTTCCCTTCATATTTGGGGGTCTCCTTGTTACGGCTGAACGTTCAACGCTATACCCTAAACCCTAATGATAATGAAGGGCTTACTGGGTAACCTAGTTAAGGGACACACCCTAGCGCAAATTCAGACTATGACTAAGATTTCAGGTTTCGGGAGTAGAAATAGCTGCAAGGTTTGGGGTTTAGTATAGACCCTAAGCCCTAATATTACCCCTTCCCTCTCATAATCTTCCGCCCACCTCCTTGATATTAGGGGGAGTATTTATTTTCAGATGGTTGAGGGAGGGGATGGTGCGCAGGGGAGAACCAATATACTGTTGAAATCTGGGCAATGGTCGCAATTTTGCACGATTGATTTTCACATATCGTGTTGGACGTATCCTGCATATATCAAGGTCACTGCAATCTTCAAATAGTTGAGGCTGCTATCATGGACTCAGGGTTTGGACAGATGAGCGCGATCACTATGTCTTGGAATCTCGAAGAAGCATTCATTCAAAAATGATGGGCTTCCAGTACCAAGGCAAAGAAAGGAGCCAAGCGCAGTCCAAGTACCTGATTATCATTTGAGCTAATTATAGTCTGAACTCCTAGTCCCCCCCCCCCGAGTTTACATTATAGGCTATAGTGTAAACTCGAGGGGGTGGACTAGGAGTTCAGACTACAGCTCAAATACTTGCCCCAGATGTTTACAATGATTACCCACATTTCAAGCACCGAGCTATTTGATACGACCTCTTCGGGTAGCGCCCCTAAGTTGCAGACTTATACTGATAAGTCCCATGCCCACAGTTCACAAGACCTGACACTAATCCCAATTATCGGCCACTTACAACAGAACTTGCAACTGGGGTGCTCTCCCCGAGCCCTGAACCCTACATACCGATATATGCCTCTATATACCCCCATGGAGCCCTTGATAGTTACATGGAGATTACATAGAGCATGATGGCAACTTCGCCCACCCTCATCGCAAAAGATGGTTTCTATAGAAACCTGCTTCAAAATGGCAACCCTGAACCCTAAGATCTAAACCCCAGACCCTAAACTAAACCCTATACCCCAGAAGATCTGATATCAATCAGGTACTGTCACTTCCCGGATAAATCCGGCGTTCTGAACGGGCAGGCTTGAATGTTTCATGTCAATGGAAATCAGCTCTGCATATGGGCGTTTCCCAAAATGAGGGCTACATTTGAAGGGGATATAGGGATTGTAAGGGGTCATACAGGGGTATATAGAGATATGAGGGGTTTAGGTTTTAGGGTTCCCCAAGGAACTGGGGTCTCTTTTTGGGATGCCCATAACAAAGTTAGCACTATACTGGAATCTCTATTGGGGTCCAGCTATCGTGTAGTACAACACCGCAACTGCCTGATAGTGGGTATTACTGATGTGTGATCATGTATTTTACCAAGCGCTAAGCCCTAAACCCTGCAAAATCATTGTCAGGGCGTGGTAAGTTCTACTACAGGCCAAGGGGATCTGCATCCTTCAATGGCGGCACTTGAGTCCCAATAGAGAGAGGAAGATCTCATCCTTCTCCTTGGGTATGGTTCTTGTTGATGCTTAAACTTCAAACGCGGGGACCCCCTAGACCCTAAAAGGTAAATCTTAAACCCTAACTCCTAAACCCCATACCCTCAAACGCGCACCCAAGGGACTCGGAGGATGTCTTCATGAGATTCGGAGCAGATCATAAGAGGTCCCCAAGGGCATAGGTACCAGGGTATAGGGTATGAAAGGGGGGATTGTGTCGAGACTTCCTCAAAACACAGCCCCCTTGACCACAGGATTTTGTATGTTTTCGGGATCTCTATGTGACGTTTTTTGTGCATACTGGGTATTGCTCCCAGATACATACCCTAAACCCTAAACCTGAAAAAAAACAGGGTACCCATAGAAATCCAAGGGATGAATAGGATGATGGAGGTCCCATTGAAGCCTAAGTGTCCAAGAAGCCAAATAATAGGGTTTTGGGGCCCACATACCAATAATATTATAGTATATGGTCCCTAAAACCCTATTATTTGGGTCCTTGGACCCTTAGGGTAAGGATTAAACAGGGCTTGCATTTGACAAGCTCATCGTTGTCTAGGATCCAATTCAGAACGACCAGCAATGATATGCCCCAACCTCCTAGTCCTAAACCGTAAACCCTAAACCCTAAACCCTAAACTGGATTGTCTCCTTTGATAGTGCTGAATTGGATTCACCCTGAGGCTCCTAGGACTATTTGGGGCTTTCTGGGGGAAGGTTTGGGCTTTGGGGGATAGGGTTTGGGATCCCATTATGAGGGTCCAAAAGCCTTAGGGCACTGTCGTAGAAGGGACCCTATCCGTAGATATTGTTACCAGGAATTGTTCTCAATCTTTGCACAGCTTTTAGTGGCTTGTGCAGGCACATCTCCTTCTGAAGATGATACACGCTCGCCAGGACCACTTCCAGAAGTGCAGGTCTTGGAGTTCGGGGTCTGTACCTATTTTTCCATGAACGAATAATGAATAATGGGGGTTTCCTAAAATTCATTCTAGTAGGGTCCCTATAGTGGGGTGCCTACTGCAATACGGGCCCCTGTATGCTGAATTTGGAGCCGGATGCACCAGAATCCGGAAAACGGGGACTCCCAAAAAGGGGTTTTCAGACACCCATATAGGACCCCGCGCGCAAGCTTGCGCTTGGGAGCCTAGCATCAGTCGGAGGCCGACTGAACATCAAAAGTTGCAGGGACATCGCTATTAGAATGCTCTTGAGCTCCAAGAGCTATCGCGCGCACCATCAAAAGAACAACGTGGCCAGACATAGCACGTCTAAAAAAAATCCATATTGGAAGGTAGGCCGCTATTCGATTTCAACTGTAATTCTCCCTCATAGTCTTATAGTAAGTAAATCGCCCCCACACACCCCCACTCTTCCATCAAATAGTCCAGTGTGATACACCAATATATATTGGGAATATTAAACATGTTGCGGGCTTGGCGGGTTTAGTATTATGCGAAGGTGATTGCCCAATTGGTGTATTCCCAAAACCTGCTACGGATCGAACGTAACGTCCGCCATTCATATCTCCCAGGCTTTACAATGGATATCTGCAGCATCCAACAAGGTTCGTTCAAAATTTCCTTCCCTGACAGACTCAAACCCTTACCCTTATCCATGAACAGCTGAAGCCCAAAACCCCTAATTACTTGGAGGTCGCTGGGTTCATAAATGGACTATCAGTAGGGTTATACCCTAGATGAAGATCATAACTAAGCTGTGACCACTAAATTCTTCATCTCCATATATCCCTATAACCCCTGCTTCCATTTGATTCAGGACTTTCTTCTCCAATCTTTGAGGTACTGTTAGGCCCCAAACCCTGTTCAACTATATCCTACACCCCCAAACCCTAAACCCCCTGAACACTGAAAGTCGTACCATCTTGGCAACCGTAACCTAGACAAAGTCCCATTTCGGGTTTCGGGTTGAGGGTTTCCTCGGTTTGGGACTCAGGGTTCTGTAGGGTTTAGGGTTCAGGTTAAATTAAACTAGACTAAGCCATGTACCCACAGAGGGGTCAGGGTATAGAACATGTTGGTGTCTCTACCTCTTCCGTATTGTCTACACTACTCTTCGTCTCGGGACGTAGGATCAGGGTTTGAGCTTTCAGATCTGGTGGGCTAAACCCTAAACCCCGCGATGTGGCTCAGGTATGGAATCGGAAGCAGATGTTTTTGGAGTGTGTGAGAGAGATTACAGTTGTAAAATGTTGTATAAGTCTCTAGGGGGGGGGTCATATTGATTACTATCCAGAATTTTACTTCATACCATACGGCTGCCCTAGGAATTATAGTACTAAAGTATAGTAAGGTCATGCAGGACTTCTAGCATGAAAGCCTCAACCCTGAACCCTAAAACCTACATACCCTAAACCATAAATCCTAAACCCTGAGCCCTGAAGCCTGCACACTCTCCAAATTTAACAATATTCCATAGGACCCGAAAGCCATGACTCCTCTTTTCTGCACCAGGAGATCCCAAACTTCGCCGGCATCAAGTTCACAGACACCGGGCTATCTTATGTCCTTGATGTCTAGGGTTAGGGGATACTTTTCATGGTCCCTTGCCATGCGTTCAAGTTGTTCACGAAGACTACTATTTGTGTTTTTTTTCTTCTGAGCCCTTCTCGCTAAACGTAGGCCTCAAAGCCGAAGACCAGAGATCTGTGTACTTCCCAAGGACCTTTTATAGAATCCTTTTTGAGGACCCCGCATAATCCCTGTATCATCCCGCTATATTTCCGGGGTCCCTATATGATGGATGGAAGATATCTTGCAGCACCTTATATACTTTGTACCCCAGGAATTGCCATATTGTAAGATTCTAGGGGTCCTAAGATTTTCCCCATCCACTGTACCGCAACATGGGGCCCTACAGAATTACAAAAATCAGGTTGACGTCCATGAGAGGTGCCCTGCACCATACTTATCCCTAGAAGCCCAGGTACCCATATAGTAGGTCCTTGGGTTACAGAGAATATAAATAGATATAGGGGCTTGTGGACAGGAACACAGTAGGTAACTGGGCTTCTAGTGTATATCAAGAGCAAGGGACCAGAATATCGGTAAATTGTTTAGGCCTCTGTATCAGGGTCTCCTTAGGAAACCCTCAGAACCCTAAACCCTAATCCCTATAAACCCTAATCCCTAAACCCTAAACCCCTCATGTAAGGACATCAACCTAATGGATTTTCAGCTCTGCAAGATGGTGGGTGGCTTAGCTGCAACTTATACGGGATCCCTAGTGTAGGGTTCAGAGTTTAGCGTTTAGGGAAGGAAGTCTGGTTATACGGATGTTATACCGTGCTTGGGATAAGTATGGTTGTTATAAGTTGTATTCAAAAAGTGTATATATATATATGTACACATACATTTATTTATTTACATACAGCTAAGTAACTGGAGGGCTGTACCTTGTACAGCCCTCCAAAAGGGACATTCGCATCCATAACCCCTAAACCGTAAGCCCTAACTCTGCAACGTGAAGCTCTAAACCTAAAGCCCGAAGCGCATAAGCCCCAGAACTTGAATCCTAAACCCTAAATCCTAGGGTTTAGGGTTTAGGGCTTAGGGTTTAAGGTTTAGGGTTCAGGGTCTAGATACTACAGAATAGGGATGCACCCTCAGAGTTGTGCATCCCTCCCTTGCTGAAAGGATGCCAAGAGCCTGAGTGATACTCTTATAATCCCTTGACTCTTTGCGGGTTAGGGTTTAGGATAGGAGACCTTGGGTTTGGGGACTTCTCGCTTCCTCGAGGTTATGGTTTAGGAGCATCAGGGTTTAGCTGCATGTTTTCTCAATAGGAGATCTCCAAGAAGGGGCCTTCACATGGACCCTTCATTCCTTTAGAAATTCGTTGGGAAAATCAGTTGACCAAAAGCGGTACAAACTTGCTGGTGCAACCTTATGGGCCCACAGATGAGTACCTGAACACCCACTCAAGCCTGACTTTCTGCACTCGGAACCGAAGCTGTACCAGAGTTGGGAATTGTGGGAAGTCCATGGGTGATGGTACCCTGCCTAAGGTTGACTGTAATGATGGTTCAAGTTCTGACTATATCAGAGGTACAGTCATGTGTAGGTTGACCTTACCCAGGCAACCTCTAAGTAGGAGACTGAAGTATGTTCTTAATAGCCAAAGCATTCTATACACGCACACACTACAGTCAGACTAAACGAAACCGAAAAACCCATTGCAATTTTTGAGGCCCCTATCCTAAATAGTCCTGAGAGCCTAAACAATCTAATACCCTAATACCCTAAACCCTAAGCCCCTAAACCCCAAACCCACTGATCCCACCCTTCGACCCGTCAGGTGGAGGAAGGTACAACATGCTCTTCGGCAGAGATGAAGAGTACTTGTCAGCGGCTGTCCTGGGCGCGGACTGGGGTGTAGGGCTTAGGGTTTCGGCTTGAAAGGTCATTCAGGGTTTAGGCTTTAGAGGTTTTAGGGCTTCATGTTCAATTCGCTTGCCTTCTTTCAGGTTCTGACGGGTTTTCGGTTGTGGCCATACCAAGCTGGAGGTTAGTTGATGTAGGGATCAGGGTTGGGATCACGACAACGAGGTTTCTTTCAAAGTCTCCATCCATCCGCCCGCTCATCCACCCACCCACCCACCCACCCACCCGGCCGGCCGGCCGGCCAGCCAGCCATCCATCCATCCATCCATCCACTCGAAAGTTCAGGGTATTTGTATCCTCCGCGTCACTGTAGTGAACACCCAGTTAGCAGCTTCTTAAACCTGCTAATGTGGTGATACTCAGGATGTAGCCACAGCCATACTTGGGCTATGATTGCTTTGAACACGCTCAACCCTTAACACGAAACCTTCAAGTACCGCAGAGGACGCTCCGATCAGCTCCACTCTGCAGTATTCGCCCTGGCTGCGAGAAGCTTGCATGATCTTGGTGTTCTCAATCTAGAGGCTAGCGGTTTCAGGGTTTAGGGTTGCTTAGTTCCATGGTGGTTTTCCACTCTTGGGAGGCCCCAAATAAGAACTGCAGCATACCGTGATCCTGCTTACAGGGGCTCCCAGACAAGCAGCACGTAATTTGTTTCACTCCATCTTGTGTGTACCTAGATCCTGGTTGTCCTTAATTTCTTAGGTTCTGTTATGCATCTTGATAGGGTATATCACAAACCATAAGGGTCCAAGGACCCAGATAATAGGGTTTTAGGGCCCAAATACTATAACATTGATTGTATTTGGGCCCTAAAACCCTATTATTTGGGTCCTTGGACCCTTAGGGAAAGAAGGTAGGACATCCAGGATTCAGGTATTTGTAGGAATAAGGGATTAGCCAGGCTTTGGGTTTAGGGTTCTGGGTTGCCAGCATCATTGAACCTCAAACAGTCAACCCAGCTCTATACGTCCCGTGACTTCAACAACCTTAACCCAAAGGCTTCCAGTTTGTATAGGGGTCCAAACCCAAGGGTACAAACCCTAGTAGGGTTTAGGTTTCCCGGAAACCCTAAAACCCTGAACCCTACTCCCTGAATAACCATACCCCCACCCAGCTCCCTACACCTGACTTTTTTGAACCTATGGTAACTCGTCTATAGCATGGTCTCATTTGGGCTTCCTAGTATAATATGACCCAATATGGCCACTAATGTCTAGCGTGCCCAGAAAGGGGCCATGATTTTCACAACCCCCGATATCAACCCAAGACCCACAAATATGCTGAAATTGCGTTCATACTAGTTGTCGTTAGTCGGGCTTCAAGGAGAGTAGCTGGGGGGGCTCTTCCTAGACTAACCAGCCTACCTATAAACGGAAAGGGGCTTCGTACCTAACACTTTGGTATCTTGACCTTTTTTTTGATTTTTTGTTTCACGGGTTTAGGTTACTCTAGGTAGGCCTTGATTGAACAGCTTACCATGCCAAACCCAAATCTCAGCACCTAGTTCCCGAAACCCTGAACCCTTGACGCTAGACCTGTCTAAGCTTCAAACCCTAAACGCCAAGACCCTAAAACCCTGAACCCTAAAACCCTAAAAACAGTAAAACCCTAAACCCTAAAAGCCTAAACCCTAAAACTCTAAAACGGTAAAACCCTAAAACCCTAAAACGGTAAAACCTTAAACCCTAAAACCCTAAACGTATCTGAGGAAGTTTTCCGCTTGACCAAAGCTGGGCAGTTTGAATCAGCCAGGGGTCCGCAGCAGGCGAGCCCTGCAACCCCAAAAACCCAAAACCGTTCAGTGTTTGGGTCTTTAAGTGTTTAGGGTTTTAGGGTTCAGGGGTTCAGGGTTTAGGGTTTAGCAGTTTAGGGGTTTAGGGTTTAGGGTTTGGGGTTTAGGGGTTTAGGCTGTAGGGTTGAGGGGGTGGAACCCAGAGCCACCTTGTTGTTGGCACCTAGACCCTCAGAGTGGGGTTCAGCGCTTCGATTTCGGGTTCAGGTTTGGTTCATGGCTTAGAGAAGACTGTTTCGAACGTTTTCTACAGACACCCTACCTGAACCCTCCAATGTAGTTCCTTTTTGGGTTTGTTATGGTTTTTGGGTTAGGATTCTTAATAGGACTACCAAAAAGGTACTACATTGGAGGGTCTAGGTAACCCTAAACCAGCCCATCCTAAGGACTCGTGCCTTGGAGAAAAGGACCCATTTAAAAAAAAGAAGCAGCCCATGATGCGGGGACCTGCGAGTCTTTGTCAACTATATGGTAGTTTCGTGAGCTCATATTCCAGAGGGTCCAGGTACCCCATAATTGAGGACTTGGGTTTTGGGTAATAGTAATTATAGACACTATCGCGCGCCCGCCTCGGCTGGCGCGGCGCGGAGCACACAACTAGGTCATGGCATGTAGTTGACACGTGGGGTTTAGGGTCGAGGAGTAACGGAGGCAAGCCTCACTTCAGACGCGTTTGTTGCATGCCTGTTCCAGCATTCATGGACAGGATTTTCTGAGCTTAGCCCATCAGCCTTTAATGAGGGAAAGCTGTTAGAGAGGGGGGGGGATTTGACAAAAAATGCTCGCTGCCGCGAATTGCGAAAGCCTCGAACCTGGGGCGAGGCTGGAATTTCACGTGGGATGGTCAGGCTGGACTAGGCCACCCACCACGGAGGGGGGGGTTGGCAGAGAGATGGGGTGGTGTGCAAGGGGGTTTTTAGCTCGGCGAATTATAGTACAGGTTTTGGGCAAGTATATGATTATAAGGTACCTGGGCTCTCAGGGTATGGAGGTATGAACTATAGGCAATCACGTAGGTCTGTGGGGGTGTATTCGCTACTTTTCCGCTTCGAACTGGCAGGTTTTGAAACGACCAAGTTACAGACATGACTCTGGAGTGTCTGAGGTCCTGAGGCTAAAGCTCAGGCATTGTAAGATTGGAAACTGCTTCTTCACCCTCGTAATGCATGAACCACCTTAGACGGACGCTGCACAGTCCGCAATGGGGGGTATTCTTTGCCATGGTAGAGAGTAGTTGGAAGGTCTTGAATGTACGGCTATGACATAGCACACCCTTCTTGGCGACAGCAACCCCCCTGAAAAAAGAATGATTTTCGCAAGCAAGCCATCCTCCTCCCACAAGTTGACGCAGAGCCCATGCAGCGCCCCCTCAAAGCGTGGTACTCTCTACACGAAAACCCGTCTCTGGGTTGCTGTTGAGGAACTTAGATTATCTTACCATACTATGCATACATGGTAAATAGATTCTTATCTCATTATGTAACTTAACTTGAAGTTTCTTCTCTCAAAGTGTCCGGGAGTACTGCAGAGTGCATGCTTATCAGTTGCATGACTACACTTCATAGGAATGAAAGTCACTTGCCCCTTTAGCAACAACTTATAACCCAATGTATCCCTCAACCCTAAACCCTAAACCCTAGACCCTACACCCGAGAGAAGCCAGGGGTCTTCTCCTTGCAACAACAAACCCTAAAGGTCCTAGGACCCAAATAATAGGGTCCCTTTCGAGGGGTTCTAGGGGGATATATAGATATAATGAGGGACTATATAGGGGTATACCGGACCCAAATAATAGGGCTTTAGG